CTTTGTCAGAAACCAAGGCAGCCTATGTCCACTCCTTATTTAATGATTAAGTTTAGCTATTCCAATTATTCTGACTGTAATAGGGAGGTTATCTGGGTTTACAGATAATCCTGTTACTTCTCAATGATCTCTCACTGAATCCCTTCATTTTCAGAATAACACATGAACAGAATTTCTGTCGATGTCTATGCAAACACTCTCCGTGACAGAACAGAAGTAAATCTGTTTAAATATGCTAATTCTAAGTGAACCAACAGTGCCTTCTCGGCACCTCTGACATTTCTGCCAATGAGCAATACAAAGAGGAAAACAGATGATTCCTCATCCCATAAGGAACAAGGAATAACCATGAGACATATAAAACCAGCTACTTTCATCATCATAAGATGCAATTAGCTCATTTCAGCATAAACCCTCAGGCATGAAAGAATAAAGCAAGTTATAATGATAAAATGAAAACAAACCACAAAGAGACACTAATTCCTTCATATAAAAGATATTTCTGAAAAAAAATACGATGACACAACGCTTAGTTTTAATGCTACAGAAGCGCCTTCCATGCATTTGCAGTCCTAACATGGCTCAGTTATGTAACTCAGGATGTTCAAGTCTACATCAAAGCCAGCAACCATGGACCTTTTAAGCAAAGCTAAATTTACTCTACTTTACTTACTAAATTTACCACCCAAGAGAAGTCCCATAGCTGGAGTGAAGTGTATTTTCTTACAATACTTTTCAAGGGTCACCATCAATTAACCACAATTTTATGATCTGCAGGGTTTGTTTAGCATGTTTCTAGATCATTACACTGAACAGAAAGAAAATCCCTCCTCCGTTTGTTAAATGAGGTTATATTAACAGTTAATTCTCACACACCAGGTTCTACTACATAGTCTGCCAAAAACCACCTCAAAAATAAAAAAAAGACCTCAACCACAAAACCCAGAGAATTAAACTGACTTAGCAACTTCCATGTCCCCATATCCTTTTCAGCTCCAGGAACATCTGAAAAGGTATTGGCAGAAGGCAGAAGCAGTAACGGAACGGGCATCCTGTAATGAGGAATAACAGGGAACTGGAAAGGCACAATGAGGACTCCTCCAAGGCTCAGCAGGGCTGGCTGGAAAGGAACTTGGGACTCCTGAGACCTTCTCCAAACTGCCAAGAGAAATGACTCCTCATAAATCAGGAGAGATCAAGGGAAGCTGCTATTTGCAAATGTTTTGCCATATGAGGGATAACACAGAGTCAGAGTTACACAGAGGGGTAACCTTGGGTGAGCTTTTCCTCCTCCCCTTTCTTCCCTTTTGGCTTTCCAGAAAAAACACTTCTCATGAAGTTTTGTTACTATATGCTGTGTTTATTTGCCTGAGGTGAAGGAGAAGCTCCAACTTGTGGTTAAACCACCTCAAATACTTCACAAATGTGCTTATGGTCAGCATCTCAAAATGGGGAAGAAGTTCTACCGGTCTCCCCCTGTGCAGAAGAGTCAGCGGGGAATGAGCAGCAAGCAGGGACTGAAATACGGGACAGAGAAAAATCTAAGCCAGGAGAAAGGGAAACAACCAAACAGAAGGGACAGAAATGAAGACATGCAGAGGTGGTGAAATGCAGAGGACTAAGAAGAAATAAAACAAGATAAAGGATGGGAGATGTGAGAAGTATCAGATTATATTTAGTTCTCATTGACTCACAAAGGGAAGCTATAAATTAAATAGCTTATCTTCATTTAAATCCATTAAAATCAGTTTGAAGGAAAATCCAAATTAGCTTTATAACATGCAAGCTATAAACTTAATAAAATCTAGTCACAGCTATTAGAGACATAAAAAGGGTTTTTTCCTTCTTGAATATTACAAACATATACTAGACTATTAAAGCAATCCTACCGGTTCAAGAATTCTTCAATTCCTACAATATCCAGCTGATGCAGATTAAAATTTAAACTTAGAGTTGCTTATCTGCTTTGGTCTTATTTAAGTACAAAGTAGATACTGGCTCTTTAAGACACTACTGCTCACTTCTTGTACTTAATTACTGCAGCCAGAAAGGACAACTGAAAAAGCTGGGAGTGCACTGCAGTACTCTCTGATCTGGACACTTACAGGTACTCCTGAAAAGAACCCGCTTGGCCGTGTTTCCATCACTCTTTCCAACAGGAATTGCTGTATCTTGCATTACACTTCCCTAGCCTGTTTCTTAATTGACCCTTTCAGATCTCATCTGGTTATAATGTGCAATTCCTTATCTACATGACCTTCCCTCCTTCACACTTCCCTCACAGGGCTTTAACAGCCTGTTTGCCATTTTTCTCACCACAGACAACTCTTAACTGGCAAATTCAGGGAAATATTAATCAAAAAGAGCCATTTAAAAGTGTACAAATGCATATCAGAGAACACTGAAAGCAAAGATAGCTTCTTACTACCTGACTCCACAATTCTGTAACATCATATGTTCATTTGTACATCCCTTTCCATGTATTTATATGTGCCATCCATATCTCCATGTAAGCAATACTTATGAGACCCATGCAGTTTATATCTTTTCTATTTTCAGAGGCTGTTCTTCCTGGAATACCAAGAGGCCTTTAGGTACCTATGCATTTACAGACTAATAGCCTATAATACTCTGGGTCACTTGGCTTATCAAAATGAGATCCACCCACAGTTCAGAATGTTCAGCATGGAAAGTTCAATCTTGAGCATAAAAAGCAATCTGTGTTAATTCTTTCTTTCTATAAACTGGTATTTAGTACTGTTTTAAAACTAGATACCATATAGGTTTGTAAGAACATGCATATTATTACTTTCAAGGAGCACATAGCACGGTCAGAGGATTAAGTAAATCCCAAAGAATATCAAATGATACTCAAATACATTCTTTTCCCAATGGTAAAGTAAGGACTAAACAGTTAAGACCAAACTACTTCACACGATGACATAAAAACAAGCTAGTGCCAAAAAAAGTACCAATAAGCAGGAGAGCTGATATCCTTTCCTTAAAACATGATGTGCATCTAAACTGAGACACAAACAACCCTACGTAGCAAATGTGTGAAATTGGGACTCTCCTGCCACGGGTTCTGGAAATGCCTTCATTTCAGGCCAGGACAAACCTTCTGAGCAGCTCAGTTCAGTGGAGGGAGAAACCTTTCCTCACTCAAGGGGACTCATATAAAACATTGGCTTACTGAAGGCTGCACGTGCTGCTGGCAGTTGCTGAAACTTTAGCTCATGTATAAGAAACAGTGAGGAAAACATTAAAAAACAAACAAAGAAAAAACCAAACTGCAATAAGTCATCATAAGGACTGTAGCACAGCCATCCTATTACACTGTTGTTGGAAAACCTGCTCTGTGGAGCAGAAGGATGATAAAGCTGCACAGCCTGTTGTAACTGGCATCTCATTTTGCTGCCTTACACAGGTATCCAGTGCTTTTGATGGTAAGAGCATTGGAACAATGCCCCTAGCTTTTGGTCAGCCCTAAAGTATTTACTTGAACGATTGTTGCAGGTGCCTTCCAACAGAACTAGGTTATTCCATTTTATTCTAAAACTTCATAGATCCAACCCTCGGCCCTCTACTCACCCCTCTGATCCTGCAATTCCCGTCTGATGCCTTCAGGAGAGCACAGAGGCTTCCAAATCACAGCCAGCTTTGAGGGCACACAGCCCAGAGGAGCTCAGAGCACAGTCAGAGGGACATTTCTACTAGCTGAGTGGAACACAAACAGAGCCCTCCTTAGGAAAAAGCCAATAAAATTCCCACATTTCTTTTGGGATATGCCAACAGCATCATGGTGAACATCCTTAGTGTGCATTTTGCAACTGAAAAGCTCCCCAAACCACTTTATAACTATGACTCAAAAGGCAGGTGTGCCTGGTCTAGCAATCCATCTAAATGACTTTGCTCCTACAAAAACCAGGCTCATTATCTTAACAGCCAGAACAAACGCTAATCAGGGCATTAGCAATATTGAGTCTCACCAGCACTTTCACCTTCCCAAGATCAAGACAGAAAACTAAATTTACTGTTACAGAAAGTAGGTTACAGCCTCTCATAGAGAGATTAAGCAGAGGGAAAAGATTAACGTCCCATTATATGTGTCTATCAAGATAGAATATAAAAGATGGAAAACATCAAAAATAGATAAAACCAGATCCGAGTCTAAACAGAGTATGGTACAAAGTTTTCCATGAAGTCCCTGTAGCTTTTCCTGCAAAGAATCAGTGGGTGTAAACACAGATTGCTGTTCATAGGCAAAAAATACTTGTCCAGAAAAACACCTGGAGTCTCTCATTCTACAGTTCTGCTCTGCTACATGACAGCTGCCATTTCCCCAAGTTCTCTTTTAATCAGAAAATATTTTAATTCCAAAATATTTTACTTGATGCACAATTTCTTGCAAAGCTTTCAGAAAACTAGGGTGTTCTATTCAGAATGAAAATTTAAATAAACAAATTACAAAATGTATCTCAGAGCAAGGTAGGGAGCTATTCATTTAGCAGATAATTCTGGTTTTATAATTGAAAAGCTTTTATCTAACCTTTTTTTAATGCCACTAAACCTACCTGCACATTGTTGGTCCTGAAACCTGATGCAGTGTGACAGTGGCTCAATCAGCAGTTAACAACATTAAAGTTCACAGCCTGTTATTTTTAGTTCAGCCTTGCTTTGTATCACAGTAAAAAAGACAAAATAGAGAAGTTTAGTCTCAAAACAGATTTTAAAATTACATAGTTTTGCTGCAGCTAAATTTGCTGTTTCAAAGTAAATGGTAGAAAAATTACCTAAAAGCTCTTCCCAATCCGAGCAGCAGTGTCAGCTACATATCAAAAAAAGGGGAAATTAAGTGATATGAAAGTGGAGAGAAAGAAAAGAGGGGACACCCCTGACTCCTGAGCTCACCTCAAGGATGACTTAGAGCAGATGGAGTTTCCACCTTTCCTCTGAAAACACAAAAAGTGCAGGTTCACGATGTCAAGGAGACACGTTAACAGCGTATTTCCCAGGTGCCTAAGGATTATCCCTTCCTCCAGGAAGCACATCTGAGGTTGGGCTATGAAGAGGAAAAAAATCAACCCATGGCACCAGCTGTCCTTAGTTCTCAGGCTCATCATATAATTAAACAATCCATATTTTAGATTGTAACTACATTAATAAGAAGATATCCCTCTCTGCAGTGAAGTCAATCATAAGTTAAAAAAGCACATTATCAAAAGAAAGTATTTCCTTTTCAGACTATTTGTCAAACTACATTTTTTTACTTCTAAGCATAGAATTTATTTTAATTCCTCCTGATGTTTTGCTTGCGTGTCCTTTAACACATAAACCCAAAATACTAAAATATAAAATTCTAACTTAAAACAAGCATTTGTTTTGCCATTTGCAAATGACATAATTCCTATTATTCACAGTCATCCTAAATATGTCACATATTGTAGCTTCACAGAAAAAAATATACATAATGCATAAAACTTCAAACAAAATAGCTTTTGCTTTGGATTGTTTTTCCCAGTGCACCATTCCAAGAAAGCAATATAACACACTACAAAAGGGCAATACATTAAATTTGCAGAGGGGTCTTTTATTTGTCTTTGAAATTATTCATTACGAACAAATGCTCCAAGAGCAGACCTCATGAATAATTGACAGGGTGAGAGGAGGAACCTTGCAAGACAGAAGTAAACAGCACTGGGAAACCTCTGAACAAAAACAGGGAAGAGAAATACGAAATAAACACTCCCAAACAACACCAGCGTGAGTTAAGGTAACCCACATCAACACTGGCACTGTGACCATCACAGCAGCAAAGCAGGTGTTTGGGGTTGGCAGAGGTCTCTGTCTTCATGAAATAAATCAAAACTGGTAACTGATACAAAAATACTACATTTAAAGTACACTGAACACACTTTAAATACAGACCAAAGTGCATTATTCTCACTGCAGGTGCAGAGCAAATGCATTTTTCAAAGGTATTTTTCACACCTATTTTCTAGCGGATAGCCTAGAGATGGTCAGTGATGCTGCGGAGTTGTTTTTTTGAGAGAACAAACATGTATTTGTGGATGTTCACACAAAAAAACCAAACCAACAACCAGAAGTATTTAACTGTTAATTTGTAGGCCAATAATTCTTCATGCTTCGTTAGGCTTACTACTTATTTTCCAGCTGGCTCCCAGAAAGAGGAAAAGAGCAGCTCTTACCAGGGGCAGGCAGCAATTCCAGGAGGCCGCTCAGCAGTTCCCACCCATCACTTCAAAGAGAAAGGGAGAAAGCCAAGAAAGGGATTTATCCCAGCTAGTCAAAATAAAACTGCATCCAGGAGTTGTCTAAACCCCACATTTTAAGGCGTTTTTAACACCAGAGGCACAAGTGAAGTCACTAAAGATACCGCCTGGGTTCTGTTGTTACTTTTTGTCAGCAAAGCTACTAGAACTTTTCAAGGAATCTTTTAATTCGTGATGATCTAATTGCCATTATGGAAAAGCATGCAGTGCCAACCTGCACGGCCCCTCACAAAAACCAAGGTCAATAACTTGTAGAATTGTGGTTTTTACTTTAGAACGACTTTTGAAAGACCAAGAGATGACAATTTAACCCTAAGAAGAAATCATAATCCTATCTGAAATTAAGGGGATTATCATACTGAACATCACTTCCAGTCAAAGGGCAAACTAACCTCTGTCTGGATTAGCCATCCCCTCCCAGAATCCCATATCCTGGAGCTGTGGCACGTGGCAATCCCGCTGTGCCCAGCTCGTGCTGCTCCTCCCCTTGGCTGTGCATCCCACACGCTCCCCCAAGCCAGCACCAGCACTTATCTAATCATACGATGAACTAATCTAGGCCACAGCTACCCCAGAGGAAAATATATCATTAATTTCCATCCAGGTCAGCTCCCTGATGTCTCCTCCCGGCTGCCCACACAAGCTCCGGTGGCGGGGGTGAAGCAGCAGAGGTGGGAAGGGGCAGCCAGGGCAGGCGAAGGGTCAGGACTGCAGCCACCCCAACCCAGAGCAGCTGGAGCTCTCAGGGAACTTGCTCTCCATCAGCTTCGCAAAAAGCAGCAGGGATGTGCCACTCCACATTTCACCCAGGACAAAGTTTAAAGAGCTTCTGCAACTGGAAGTACTGGAAAGAACACTTGGCACAGGAGCTGCTTCCCCAAAATGAGAGCTCAGGCAGGACCTGGCATGATCCGTTAGTAGGTTTGACACAATCTCACCTGTGTATCTGCTACAGTCACTTCTGTCTCTTAAATATATATATACATATCTCTCCAAAGAATTCTATCTGATGGAGCAGTGCAGGAATGCTCATCTGTGAACAACAAAGAGATTGGGTTTGCCTGACTCTTGGTAGCTCATTACCATCTCTTGGAGATTTAAGTGCCTCCTGCCTTCCCCCAGTGCTCCCCATAACATTAGGGAGCTCTCTCTGCTCAAGAAAGTTGTCTGCATTTCTAGCAACCAATAATACTATTTTATTTGCCCCCTCTAAGTAGTTTCGGTATTATCCCAGATGACAACAGTTCTAATTTCCAAACGCAGCGATATCACACTGTGGTGTTTCTTAGTTTTCAAACGGCATTGAAACCAATGCACTTAAAGCTTTAAAAAATAAAATTTGCATGGTAACCAGTCAGGCACAGAAGATCAAAACTTGGCCCCAAGACTCCCCTGCCAGGTAACTGAAGCCAAAAATAAAAAGCTCAGCTACAAAGAAATGGAATCCAGCCAAGTTAATTTTGTACAAAACCACACCAAGTAAGAGGGCGATGCACCAGGAGAGAATTGGATTTCCAGTCTCTCATCTTTTCTGTGAGAGACGTACGACACTGACAGCACAGATGGCACAGACTCAGTCCTAATCAAAACTAATGAAGTTGAACTTGATACACAACCCTTTAATGAGCAGAATGTATTTTTGTTTTCCCAGCCATTTGAAAGCTATCACACAGCAATAAAATCATTTAGCCAGCATAATATATGCACAATGTAACATAACAGAGGTACTATTTTGTGAACACCTGAGAAAGTCTGTAGCAAACAATGACATACAGAGATTTAATTGAACTGTGGGTGACTTTCCTGTCTCAATATAAAAATCAGTTGGTATCACATAATATTCATTTTTTAAAGGAAAGAGCCTTGCTCAGTTTTGTTATTTTTAAAAGAAACTTTACAGGGCAACACACTTTAAAAAAAATTCCCCTCATTAGCATTTAAATTCATATATTGCACTTACAGGGGGAAAATGATGGTAATGACTTAGATGACATTTCACTTTGCTGGCAGCTACAGCATTAAAATCTTCATGCTTGAGGGTCAGAGAGAAATGAAGAAAATGTGGAATAACTAAATAGAGTTACCCCATCTCCATCACTATGTCACTGCCACATTCAATTCAAAACAAAAAGTCTATATTTTATTGCGTTGTGTGTAATTCTTTTTAAAACAGAAATCTAAAATACTTCATAACAAACAATATTAACTACTCGCAAGAAGACAGAATTAGTGCATGGTTTACAGTAAAAAAAATAACAAAACCACATGACAGGCTTTAATTGTCAGTAAGATGAAGCAAGAAAATTCACCTCCAGCACAGATTAGGCACAGTGCCTTACGCCTCCATTTGGAGTTCTCGACAGCCTTGTGTCTCCAGTCCTGTGTTATTCCATGGAAACATGGCTGTGGTGCTCGAGGCACGGAGGGGAGCAGGAGGCTCTGGCACAGCAGCACCAGCACCTGGAGACACCTGCACAGCACTGACAAGGTAGCAGTGCCTGCGAGGGAAGGGAAGTTTCCTCGGATAATACAAAACTTCGGGTAATCTCTCCTTATCTAACTTCCTCCTCACAGGCTCCTTCCTGGCAGCTGGGCACATGGATCTGCAGGACTGCAGGCATCTGACTGCATGAGTCCCACTGCTTTGGTAGGAAATCATTCTGTACATATTGTTTACTTTTGATACAAATGCCAGCTAACTCCAAATCAACCACTCACACTTAGGGTAAACACTGAAAAAACCCATGTTTCATCTGATCTGATTTTAAACAAAAAATACAACAAACAACCCCCCAAACTTCACAATGAAAACAGTAAAATATAAAATTATAAATTTAATTTTACTCCCCCCACCTCACTGAATTCCTGTTGTGCAAACAAACAAGAGTGAGCAGCACAGCACAAAAGATACCGCTAATGTAATAAAAACACCCTGTTCGCATTTTTATTAATTATTTTCATAAACATACATTGTGCCTTGCAATTAAGATTCCGTGTGCCTGAGTTGCCATGGCAGCACAACTTCCACAGCACAATAAATTCTTCCAGCTCAGCCAGGGCCAGGGCTCCAAAGCCGGAGGCAGGCTGGATGTGGGAGGTTTTGGGGCGACTGGTGCAGAGAGGACAGAGATCAAGATGGGGAAAAAAGCTTCCACTGGACAGAAAATTATTGATACAGGATAGAAAAATCCACAGAAAAACTGATACTAAGTGTGCCTTTGGCATTTCCAGGGCAGCTTCTGAGGAATGCAAATTCTGACTTCTTTTTATTTTTTTTCCCCCATCTGAAATTGCTTCCCGGTGCCATAATAGCTGAAAACAATGCTGCCAGACTCTCTGGGCAGCGCTCACCCTGGGCAGCTCGTCTGGAGCTATAAATAGCTGCTCCCATCTGCCGTGCCATCCCTGTGCTGCCGGCGCAGCCGGACCCTCTGCCAGGCCTGCAGGAGCACACTGCCAGGCACACATAATGAGGTGAGCAGCAAACCTGGGACCGCTGTAATTAACTGCTGCTTTGGTAGTCATTACTGCAAGGGAACGGGCCGAGGGAATCTGTGTAAGTCATAATTAATAGCGCCGGGCACAGTCTGCGGGCGCTGCTCGGGCCACGGCTCCTCACATGACACCGTTCTTGCTTTCAGTTTCACAGAAATTAGGAATGGGTAAAAATAAACCTCAAATACCAACTGCCGTAGCCAAAAATAATCCAGCTGGGGAGCCAAATCTAATGTTCTGAGTGAGTCAGCACCAAGAATTCGGAGCGAGGTAAGAGACCAGGGCTTGCCCTCTTCTCGCCAGCCCTTCCGCCCTGTCCACCGCCTCCACAGCAGCTCACAGACACCAGGGCAGACCCTGTCGCTGCTGTTTCAAGACAGAAGAATGACAGGAAAGCACCATTTCCCTTCCAGAGTAATCCAGACAGCTCGGAATTTCGGAAGCAAACCCTCATGCTGTTGGTACATCTTCAGTTAACACATTTCATGCAATGCCCACCCTGTGGAACGATGTGACCTCTGTGAGCTCACACGACCACCAGGGCTGAGAAACACATGATTTCGCTGCAAAACAGACTGAACTGACTACAAAATTATTGTCTGGCACTGATAAACAGTGTTGCTAATTTGGGAAAAAGACATTATACTGGAAGCGTTTAAGGCCAGGTTGGACGGGGCTTAGAACAACCTGGGCTAGTATAAAGTGTCCCTGCCCATGGCAGGGGGTGGAATGAGATGAGCTTCAAGAGTCCTTCTAATCTAAATTATTCAATGGTTCTATGATATTTGAATTTGATCTAGCCACATGGCCACACTGTTCTCAAATAAAAGCAATCTCTACCTGAAGATTCTGACATCACTATTCAGAAGTTACATAAAATTCAGCAATAGATTGCTTATATTTATAAATAGATCCATGTAGAGTTGTAGTCAATAGATTGAGAATGCACACACTGGGGTTTTTTTTAAACAATGTCGTTCTGAGTATATCTGTCATATCCCACACGTATTCCCCAAAATTCTTGATGCTTTGAATGCAGATCCCTCCCTTCCCTGCTTGCTCCTGTATCCATCCTACGATGCAGACCACAGGCACTGATAATACTTCTGCACTCAGCACCTGGATCCTGCACGTGGAACCGAGCATGCCCTGGGTCAGGCCCGTCAGCTCCATCGCTGTTGCAACTGCACCGTAGGGAGGGAACAGCTGGGATCCACCAGGATGGCTGGAGGCTGGAGCCTGTGACAGGAGGAAAGGCCAGGGCAGTCTAACCAGAGAAAGAGAAGGCCAGAGTGCAACCCAGGCGTAGTCAATCAAGAGGGAGACATGTTTCTATGATTGTCCTCGTTCTATACTCATAAAATCTCCAAATTGTTTAAGGTCAGCACTTTTCTTCTGCAATTAGATCATGGGTTGTTTGTCTTGATACACTGGTATTTTTTTAATACTGGAAATCTTATTTTTCTATCATTTTGATACAAAAACCGCTTTGCCATAAACCATAACTACCCAAAGCTTTTTCACTAAGAAAAAACAACATGAAGTAATAACCTTTTGTTTACCCTATCAAGATCTTTGAAGAGCTGAGTAATTTTACAGCCTCGACATAAATGTCTTCAGCATTGCTCCAACCTACTTTTAAACCAGTAGTACTGGTTTCTGCATCTATTCAGGATCTTTGTCATAAGGATTAGAATTCTCCAAGAAGACGTGGAGAAGGGAAGAAGAAGAAAGAAGACCAGGTTGCTCCAAGTCCCGTCCAAGCTGGCCTTGGAAACTTGCAGGGATGGGGCAGCCACAGCTTCTCTGGGCAGCCTGTGCCAGGGCCTCACTAGAGGTACCGGTTCCGAAGGATGGCAGCTGAGGATCAATATTTTTTCCCTGACAACAGCCAGGATCTTCCAAAGCCTTCCCACTTGCACTGCGTGAGCGCTCACCAAACCTGCCTCCACACAAAGATTAGTCTGGGAGCAGAGTGAGTACCTGGTGAGTAGCAGTCACTTTAGTATCTACAGAGCAAGTCAGTAGGAGGAGATAGCAAATATTCACATTTACTTTTTACAAGGTAATCTCTCTGACAAGGTAATCTCTAACATACTCTACTGTTAACTTGCACACTCTTGACACTTTAAATATCCACTTTTGCTTCCCATGGGAATTCGCTCCAGTGAAACAGGAACATTAATTCCCTCTTTCTAGGCAGCTACAGAATTGTAGTTTCTCATACGTGACTCTATCAATGATTTTGTTTCAATTATATGTTCAGACTGCCAAATTGGATAAAACACATCCTTTGTGAAACTTGCAGCTCATCCCTGAAAAGATAAATTCACCTGCCTGAATAAGCAAAAAAAAGCACAGATAAGGTTTCTTCCAAGCACTGAGAATAATAATTCATGAAAAACTTGAGGTATAATCAACATAGCTTAAAAAAACCTCTTAACAGTACAGAAATAAACAGTG